AATCCTCCCTATACCCACAAGATTCATTACAAGACAATGCATGTTTTCATCTGCTTCAGATTAAGCTTTTATGCAATGCCAGCCTTTGTTACACTAAAACCCTGTTATGAAGGGTTGTTAGGTAAATGTTACTCAGGATCAAATTCAGCCGGCAGAATAATGAGGCTAAGAAAGGCCCTAAAGAAGAAAAGCACAGCGGGTGGGTGGCTCTGCAGAGTTTTCTTCATGATGTACCCATTGTGCATTGTAGAATTGGGCTTCATGTCAGTTTCAAATAGGCCAGCATAGAGGGGACTCAGTGGATAGGAAAGTGACCGCTGTGTTCAGAATTAGGCATTCCCAGTGGCCAAAGCTGACTGTTTAGACATTACACTAGGGGTAGGGTGACCAGATAGCAAGTGTGAAAAATCAGGATGGGGCATAATTGGCACCTATATAAAAAAGGCCCCAAATATCGGGACTGCCCCTATAAAATTGGGATATCTGGTCACCCTAACTAGGGATCATCATGAGAGCTGAGCAAATAATTGATTTTTCAGTTCAGCAGCCAAAACCAAAACCCGGGGGAGGGGTTTGAAACAAAAAGGAACATTTGAAACAAAAAGGAAAAAATGATTTTTTTTCAGGGGGGTTGTTTTCTCTGTGAACGTTTTCCACCCTTTGGGGGGCTTTAATAAATACAACTAAATTTCAAAACCAAATGATGTTTTGAAATGGTGACAATGATCCATTTGACTTTTTCCCCCAATAAATAAATAAATAGATAAAATAAAAGCAATCCATTACATTTCCAGCTAAATTCTTTGCTGAATACACAAATAGTTTCAGCGCCCTGAAAAATGCATTTGCCAATTAATTTACTGTTCGTCAAACAAAATTTGCCCAGCTTTAGTCCTCATTGTGATCCATAATTCATCAGAAAGGCTGGAGAAATGGCTGTGGAAGGGGCAATCCAACACCCTGCCTATAAGCCAGGAGTTGGATTTCTTTCCCTCAAATCTGCATGAACCCTGTTTACTTCAGCTTCGTGCGTGTGTTTCTGTGAGAATGTAACCTTGGTGAAAATCCCACATGTGCTGTGAATTTCCTGTGTGACTTGGGGGGATACAATGCTCTTTCATAGCATTAAAGCAGACGCAGGCTAACATTTGTATTTGCAAGAACTGGTTTATGACTAAGGCTCCTAGATGCTTTTAATGTTCCGCTGTATTTTACTTACTGCTTTATTTTGTTCTTTACCAAAAACAAAATTGCTAAATAGACAAGAACTAACATTTCAAAAACGTCAGCGCTTTCCGTGAGCCTTATTGCTACCTGAAAACATCAGCATCGAACGCATCCTGCATCAAAACAATAATTAAAAAATAAAAATCGAAGAAAACAAAAATCTTACTTTGACATTTCCATGAAAATTGAATGTTCCCCTTATACAAACACAGATGACTGGTTTCATTACTGAATGCCAGGGGGGTCATGCATCTATAAAATACCAAAAGATTCTGCGTGTCAATCAGTCTCGGTGCCAGTATTTCTCCAACAGGAACTTCTTTTTGTAGAGGGAAAAATGTTTTATTGGGGCTGGATGTAATGTTAAGTGAGCAATGAGCAGGCAGGCGAGTTGGAAAGGAGGTGCAACTCTTATTAACTGCATGAGCAACCGGCTCCAACCAAGACTGCTCAGGATTCAGAAGAACATCTGGGTCCAGATTCCCAAAAGAATTTGGCTTCCATTTAGACACCTAAAAAAGGGGGTTCAGAGTTTCAAAAGTCCTCAGCTTCTGTTGCTTTCATAAGCACATTAACATAGCTGCTCATGATAACAGGACACTGTACCAGGACACAGGTATCTTCAGAAGTGTTGCCAATGTTCACTATTTTATCTTGACCCCGTGTGCTTTCTTAGAAGCCCCTGTTCCTGGAGTCCTGTGATTACATGAGAATCTCAGTTTTCATTTCTATAACAAGTTTCTAACCCTCATGATTGTGGAGAAAATTTTAGAAACGTGAACACTAAAGGTTCAGAAATCAGAAGACAAATAAAAAACACATTTAAAAAAATTCTCATGATTTAAGTCCATGTAGTGCTGGGGGGGGGAGGCTTAACTCATTATTTTTGATCCCTGGGGTTGGCACTACAGCCTCAGTTCTATCCCCAGCTCTGCCCCTGACTTGCTGTGTGATCTTAGGTAAGTCACCGCTCTGTGAACTGTTTCTCTATCTGTAAAATCCAGTTAATTATACTTGCCTTCCTTTGTAGAGAATTTTGAGATGAATGGAATGAAAAATGTTCTCTAAAGTCTTATCCTTTTTATGTTATTTTTACTTCTCCCTTTAGCTTTTCAAAATTTAACTTTGAAATAATATAACCTATAATAAGGTTAAATGACTTTCCTAAGTCACTACATTAGTTAATTATAGTCTATTATAGCCTTGTATGCATGGGGCAGGTTTTCTCAAAACACAGGGTTCTAACATGACTCATTACAGCTTGATGATGTTGCAGTTTCCAAGTCCTCTTGAGCCTGACAATTCTGGTGAGGCTAGTATCTGCAATGACTCTGCTGATACAGACTCTCTCTGTTCCTTAAGGAATTGCGTTTTCACATTTTTCTCCTGTGTCAAGGTATTTGAGATTTTTCCAGGATTTTCAAATGAATCTCAGTAATTTACCTTAAGCCTCTGACTGTCCATTTCCAGACACCCCTTGCTTTGGTGCAAGGGGTGTGTGTGTTTATTTTATCCTTTTATCTAGGCACTGCCAAATCATCCCTGCTAAAGTGTTAGAAACGGGGCGATCGGCCGTCTTGCCTAGTGGTTAAAGCAAGAGTTCAGCCTACTGGTTAGAGCAGAGTCCAGGAATGAGCCGCGGCGGGTCAGTGTTGGAGGGTCAACCAGAGTTGGAGCTGAGGATCAGTACTGGAGAGACAGGAGCTGATAGGGAACTGGGGCTGGAGCAGGGACTGGAATAAGGGCAAGTAGAGCTGCAGGCTTGGTACACACTGAGTAGTCAGAGAGGTGCTGCTGCTGCTGGACTTTAAAGCCAGCCAGCTGCCCTCCCTGACCAATCAGGTGGTCCAGTGAATGAAGCCTGCTGCAGGCCAGCTCGCTGTGCTTGTTGGGTTGACAGGAGACTGACTCTGCTGCAGGCTCTGATCCCTGACATAAAAATGACATCTCTTTGGGACTGTGAAGAACTCTCAGGATATTTTTCAGAAGCGCAGGATAAACATTCTGAGCAAATACAGTTGGTATAAATTTGGTTGCCAAGTAGTGCTGTAATTGATCAGAAGTAATAATCAATGAAGAGTAAATAGGTTCCTCTGTCAAATTCAGAGCGTGGAACTGAAACTGAAGTGGTTCCATTGTTTCTACCTAATTTAGTCCCTCGAGACATTCATGCTGCACTTATCACCGTGGTATCTGAGTGCCCAGTGTTGTTTGGGTCCTTCTAGCTATGGATGAAGGGCCGGATTCTGCCAGCTCTGTGAGTGGGCCGGTTGACACCAGTGAGACTACTCGTAAAGCAAGGGTTCTATTCAAAGTGCTCATTCTTGTAGATCAGTCATCAGGTTTTGCTGATTTTCGGCTTTTCTTGGTGCATCCATGGTCCCTAGGCAAAGGGAGGTGCAGCTGCTTGGAAACAGCTGCACCCTTATCTTTGTGAGAGGGTCCTGGGAATATCTTTGCACAACAGGAAGTCAATGGGAGCTGCAGGTTTTCAGCATTTCTGCAAATCAGGCCACATCATTAGGCACCCAATTATAAATTTTTGCTGCCTAATTTGGGGCATTCAAGTTAGAAAATGAAACCCTGACTCCACTGAAGTCAATGAAAGTTTACCATTGATTTGAGTGAGACCAAGGCTTTAGTAACTTATCAAAGATAAGTGCCCAGGGTAGTGGTCAGACACAACCTTCACACAGGGTCTCCTGTGATCTTTAGTAACTTATCAAAGATCACAGGAGACCCTGTGTGAAGGTTGTGTCTGACCACTACCCTGGGAGACATAGACCACAATTCTCTCCTGTTACACTTGGGATACAATAACAAAGATCCATATTTCTAAATGAACCAAACCGAAAACGTTCTAGAAGTTCTATTTTTTTTAAGACAATGTGAATAACTTGTATAACTCCCTGTTTCCCCTGGAAGAAGAGGTGTTGAAATATCCCATTCACAGATGCCAAGGCCTGAACGGACCATTGTGACCATCCCGTCTGACCTCCTGTATAACACAAGCCAGAGAACTTCCCCAAAATAATTCCTTTTGAACTAAAGCAGCAGTTCTCAAACTCTGGGTCAGGACCCCAAAGTGGGTCACGACCCCATTGTAAGAGGGTCACCAGAGCTGGCGTTAGACTTGCTGGGGCCCAGGGCTGAAGCTTGAGCCCCACGCCCCAGGTGGAAACGAAAGCCTGAGCCCCACTGTCCGGGGCCAAACCTGAAGCCCTGGATGATGGGGTTCAGGCTTTTGATTTTGGCCTCCCTGCTCGGGCTTTGGCCCCTCTGCCAAAGATGGTGAAGCTCACACGGGCTCAGGTTTCAGTCCACCCTCCTGGGGTCGTATAGTAATTTTTGTTGTCAGAAGGGCGTCGTGGTGCAATGAACTTTAAGAACCCCTGAACTAAAGCATATATTTTTAAAAAAATCCAGTCTGGATTTTAAAATGTCCAGTGATGGAGAACCTGCTACAATCCTTGGTAAATTGTTCCATTGTTTAACTACTATGCCTTCACAGTTAAAAATGTACACCTTATCTCCAGTTTGAATTTGTCTAACTTCAATTTGCAGTCATTGTCTGGTAGAATGAAGAGCCCAATATCAAATATTTGTTAGAGCCCAATATCAAATACCCATGTAGGTACTTAAGTACTGTAATCGAGTCATCCCTTAATGTTCTTTGTTAAGATAATTACATTGACCACCTAGATCCTGTCAGCATAAGGCATGTTTTCTAATCCTTTAATCATTCTTGTGGCTCTTCTTTGTATCCTCCTCAGTTCATCAACGTACTTCTTGAATTGTGCACACCACAACTGGAAACAATATTGCAGAAGAGGTCACATCAGTGCCAAATACAGAGGTAAAATAACTTCTCTACTCCTATTTGAGATTCCCCTGTTTATGTATCCAAGGATTGCATTGGACGTTTTGGGCACAGTGCGGCATTGGGAGTTCATGTGCAGCCGATTATTCACCATGACTCCATAAGAACAGCCGTACTGGGTCAGACCAAAGGTCTATCTAGCCCAGTATCCTGTCTACCGACAGTGGCCAATGCCAGGTGCCCCAGAGGGAGTGAACCTAACAGGTAATGATCAAGTGATCTCTCCCCTACCATCCATCTCCACCCTCTTACAAACAGAGGCTAGGGACACCATTCCTTACCCATCCTGGCTAATAGCCATTAATGGACTTAACCTCCATGAATTTATCCAACCTCCATAAATTTATCCAGTACCCCCAAAGCTTTTTCAGAGCTATTGCTTCCCAGGGTAGATTCCCTCATCTTGTAAGTATGGCCTACAGTCTTTGTTCTCAGATGTAAACATTTACAGTTAGCCACGTTGAAATACAGATTGTTTGCTTGTGCCCAGTTTACCAAGCGATCCAGATTATTCTTTATCAGTAACCTGTCTTCTTCATTATTTACCAATGTTTGTGTCATCTTCCGACTTTAGTAGTAATTATTTTATTTTCTCTTCCACATAATTGATAAAAATGTTAATGTGCATATGGCCAAGAACTGATCTCTGTGGAAGACCACTAGAAATACACCCATTTGATGTTGACTCCCCATGTACAGTTACATTTTGAGACCTATCAGCCAGCCATCTTTTAATCCATTTAATGTGTGCTGTATTAATTTTGTATTCTAGTTTTTTAATCAAAACAACTTGTGGTACCAAGTCAAACACCTTACACACGTCTAAGTATGTTACATCAAAACTATTACCTTTATCAATCAAACTTGTAATCTCATCCAAAAAGGATATCCAAGTAAGTTCGACAGGATCTGTTTTCCATATACTTGTGTTTATTGCCATTAATTATACTATCCTCCTTTACTTCTTTATTAATGGAGTCCCATATCCGCCTCTCCATTATCTTGCCTGGGATTGATCTCAGACTGATAGGCCTATAATTACCCTTTTAACTTTTTTATATATTGACACAGCATTAGCTTTCTCCCAGTCTTCTGCAACTTCCCCAGTGTTCCAAGACTTACTGAAAATCAACATTAAAGCAGAAAGCAGCTGGTCTTGGAATATATCTAGGCATTGACCTCTGGTGAGAATTTTTGATTTCTCAGCTGATTTTCACACTGGAGAGGTGTGGATATGATTCTATGTGCTTGAGATGACCATAACAACTTTTGGATATCTGTCTGAACTGAAACCGAGAGCTCCAATCCTTTTGGCATTCACTCACCACCACTAGTAAGGGCTACCTTAATGAAACACGATATTAATCTCTCCTTATCTTACTAAATATATGTCTTTTGTTTATAGTATTGTGGTAACTGCGTTAAAGTTTCCATGACCTAAATAGTAAAGACAAGTTTCCTGATTTAAAAAAGACAATCTTATAATCATGTAAACCTGATTTATATCCTGGTTTAAAATTGGAGATTAAGGGCAAAGTTTCAGATAAGATCAGAACCCGTGTGGGGACCTAACCAAAGTAGTCAGATTCTCAAGAGTGCTCAGATGATAACAGTTCACATTGATCATTCTGTTGCATAAATTGGAGCAGTGGGGTCCTGAGCTCTCTTGAAAATCTGGTCAGAAGTCTTGAAGTAATCAGGTAACGTGACTGTAATAACAGCGTCTTTTAAGCACACACTATTTTATTTTATCTCATAGAGGTCATTAGGAATAAAAAATTGAAACTATATCCTGTGTATTTTTTCTCCCTCCCCCCCCCACCAAATATGCCAATATAGTTTTATACATGGTGCTTCTCTTTCCCAATATGAGCAGTTTTTAAATGCCAGTGACTATATTGGCCGTTCCATAAGACTAGATAGAGTGTAATGGGCAGAAAGTGGTAGCATGGGCCAGCATAAGGATTAGCAGATATATGAGTAATCAAAACAAGGAGGACGGCAGCCTCCCGGACTCTCATGCCTGGAGCCTGGGCAGCTGCTGGGCTCCCAGTGGGGAGCAGGGAGCCTCAGAGCAGCTGGGTTCCTGGCAGGGAGTGGGGAGCTGGGCAGGCACAGCCCAGCTTGGAGCAGGGAGCCCTGGGCAGCAGCCCAGCTGGGAGCAGGGAGCCAGGACCCCAGGCAGCAGCCTGGCTCCCCACTTGGAACTAAGATGTCCCTGGGGTGCCAGCTCCCTGCTCCCAGCTGGGCTACTGCCCAAGCTCTCGGCTCCCCCAATCCCTGCTGAGAGCCTGGCTGCACCGAGCCTCCCCGCTCCCCACTGGGAACCCGACAGCCACCCAGCCTCCGAATGTGGAGCTCCCCACCAGGAGCCCAGGTGGCTGCTGTGCTCCAGGTGGGGAGTGAGGAGCCAAGAGCATGGGGCGGGCAGCTGGGCTCCTGGCGGGACACAGGGAACCAAGCATCTGGGCGGGCAGCCATGCTCTGTGTGGGGAGCAGGTAGCCGAGAGCCTGGGAGGGGACAGCCATGCTCCTGGCAGGGAGCTTAATGGAGCTGAGAGCCTGGGCTCTCAGCCCCCCACACTGCCCCTTTGAAGTTGGTTGAAGCACTCCTGGTGAAGACATGCACCACCGACAAAAGGAGAGCAGTCTGGACATGAACCACCACAGTAATTACCGCGGTGGCTGTAAGTCAAGCTAACATGAGTAGATTAAAGTTTGTAGTGTAGACATGCCCTGAGTTTCACAGTGCCTAATACTAATGAGGGCATTATAAATGCCTGAAACAGACAGATATGATAGAGTTTCACCACTACATTTTTGGCCTTGTTCAAACCTGACATTGCAAATGAAACCCAAGGTGTGTAAAATAACAAACTAACGCCTAAAACTGGGCATAAAGTTATTTTTATTTCAGTGAAACTTTCAACTTTTCAGCAACTGTAAACTAAATATTTTTGGACAGAAACTTGTTTTTGTTTGGTTTTGTTGTCGAGTGAAATCTTAATTTTTTTTGAGGAAAGCATGAAAAAAATTGTTTTTCTGAAAAGCCAATTTTCCGTTAAAAGCTATGGAAATATTCTGTCCAGCTTTATTAAAATTATAAAGAAAAATTGAGAGGGTCCATATGTCCTACCACTGCCAAGTTCCACAAAGGTCTAAAGTTACAGCAACTCATGAAAGGGTAGTGAGTAGGTCGCAATACAATCAAGGTTCAATTGATGAGGAGGTGTCTACTCACTTCTGTATATTTGTCCTCATCAATTGTTTCAGACAACCTGGGGCATAGAGAGACATACCTGCCCCCAAGACAGGCATCTGATGGGACAATCAGAGATGTATCCTGTTTGTACCAGGAGCACTTGAATATTTCTAAGCATCAAAATAAAATATCTACCAGAGATGAGGATTCACCAGCTTTAGTGATGCCTGAAGAAATAGGCCACATGGAATTTCTCACCATTGTGAAATATACATATTTCTGAAGAATGACTTTGCATTTGGGAATCCCTAGCCAGTGCAAAATGAAACATTTCCTGGGAACATTGGGGAGAAGTGTCCAAGCGAGGACTAGAATGATGCTGAATGACACCAGCTGAGTATCTGGCCCAGATTATCTTCTCCTACCTCCTTGACAATTCAAAACTGGGAGGTGTGCTGTTTTAGGCTCTTACTCTTTCAGGGAATCAGCCACCAGCTGCCAAATAGGCTTGATAAGAAAACTGCCAACTTAATCCCTGGAGTAACTCCAGTGACTTTGGCAGTAATACACTAGCAATCAGTATGGCCTCAGGAGATTCTTAGGAGACTGTTTGCAAGCATATTTGCTGGCAACAACTCTAGAGCTTCTTGAAGCCCGAGGCAACCTCCAGCTTGTCAGATTCCAGGTAAGGTTCATCCATCCCTAACACTGCTACTATCAAAAATTGAGCCTTAAAAGAGGAAGCTAGCTTCACACTTAACTCTGGGGCGTTACCTTCTCTCTGTAAGATGGACCAGATCCTCACATGGTGTAAATTGACATTAACTTTCGTGGATTTTCCTCCAGGGCAGATTGGCTGAGCCTCTGGAGGTTTTT